TTGATTACAACGCTTTATGCCCTTTTGTGAATGATACGTGCTTTTTTTTTATTTGAGTCTTAACTATTTCCTTTCATTATGAGATGAAGGAGAAGAGAAGTGGGAAAAGATTGGCTACCTTTATTTTTGGAGATGGAGGAGGGAGGAGGGGAGCTGTGGCGCTTAGGAGGCCGGAATGAACGGAGATTCGGTGATGAAGCTGGAAGCTTGCTTGGTGAAATTTGGTACTTTTGTATTTTGTTACCGTTTTAGGGTTTGATGATGAGTTGTACTGAAAACCTTTAATTCACTTCTTTATCCCTTCTTCTGTGCCACTGATGCTTTGAATTGTTGCCTGTGTTGTTGCCTATATTGCCCTGAACATGCTTCTTTCTTCTTCTTCTCTCGTGTTGCCTATGGAAATATTATTTTCTTCTATGTCCCTGAGTTGCTTCTGCTTTGTCTTGATTAGGATGCCTTTGGGAATGTTTGTTATTGCCTAATGATGAATCTAAGATTCTGAAGGACTTGGGGGTTGGTTTTATCAGTTTGGTAATTCAGTGTATGTGTTTGTTTGTTTTGTTTATGGGTTTGTGCTAGCAAATGGGTGTGTTGACAGGTTAATGGTTGTTTAGCAAGCTATGCTGTGGTTAGGCTTGTATGCTCTTCAGCAGGTTTTGTTTCTTGGTTGATTGTTGTAGGTTCATGTGGTTATTTGGTTGTTATGCTTTTGAACTTTTAGAAATTATGCATTTGACATTCATGAATAAAAAATGGAATTCTTCCCTCTTTGTGAACCGGGAGAAATCCCACGATTTGCAGAGAGGGTCAACTGATCCCAGTCAGTGGCCCCTAATGATGAGCAACTTTAACTGTCTTTAATTAACTGCTTTCTGACTTTTCTTGCTTCTTTTTGCAGATAAAAAATGGAGCACCGGAGCGGAGTGAAGAATGAAGAATATTAGGAATAGGATAGTTTTTTATTTTATGTAATATTTAAATTAATGTATATTATTGTTCATAATTTAAATTATAAACAACAATTTGTACAAATAATTCAAATATCAATAAAATCTAAATTATCCAATTAATTCTAATTTTCTTTATTGTTTATTTATTTATTTAAAATTCTTTGAATTAAAACAATTGAAAAATAAATTTCAATCATTCAATTTTAGAATAATAAATAACTTAAATAAAAACAACATTGATCAATTAAACCTGTCTCTTCCAATATCCAAAATAAAGCAGTAGTTAACCCAAATAGACTGATCAAACGCATTCCTTCTTCACTGATTTGCCATAAACACTGTAAATCCAAAACTGCACATATCTTTTGACTGGTGAATTCAAACCAATTGCCTCCTCTTACTGATTAAATCAAGATAACGCGAATTTTAACCCGAATCTCGGAATAAACTGCAAAGTGCTTGTGGAATTTAAATTCTTCTGAGAATATGCCCATAAAACCCTTAATTCCTGATTAAATGCCAAATAGCGCTCGCTTGATCAAAATTGAACCAAAAATCATCCAAAACCCTAAACCAACTGTATGAAACAATCCAGAGCTCTGAAAATCAGTAAAAACCCTAATTTTGCTTGACTGTCAAGAAAAGTCCATTTGTCCGATTCTTGAGCCAGTTTGAAAAGTCAGGAAATGTCTGAAGTTGAGATTTCTTGTGGAAAAACGCGAGGGCAAATTTTGGGGTACAACAGATGGTAAGAGTGATGGGAATGTCAAAGGAGTTGGTTATGATAATAATTGTGTGAACAAAGGCAAAGCACCTGTAGTGAATTTTGTTTCTCCAAATAGTCAACAGGAACAAAATATGTCTCATCAAATGTTTCAATATCCAAAAAGACATCAACATGCTCAATTTGATAGAAGACCCCAGACATGGAGATGTTATTTATGTGGTAGGTTTGGACACATAAAACCCTATGTTGGTAGTTATGTCACCTTTGTATATGGAGAATAGGGTGAAATTACGGGTATTGGAAAACTAGAATGTGAAGGACTTCCATGTTTAGATGGTGTGCTGCATGTTAAAGGTCTGACAGTTAATCTGATCAGTATCAATCATCTTTGTGATCAAGGTCTGAAAGTTGATTTTACCAAATCTGGATGTTGTGTGACAAATAAGAAGAATAAAGATGTTATAAAGGGAGCTAGATCAAAAGATAATTGTCATATATTGTCTTCTTAAGAAACAAAACTTTCCTCAAAACTTATAATGTGTAAAGATGAGGAAGTAAATCTTTATCATAAAAAGTTGGGACATTTGAATCTGAGGGTATAAAGAAAATATTGTCTCATGAAGCTGTCAGAAGTATTTCCAAATTGAAGATTGAAGAAGGCAAAATTTGTGTTCTATCGTTACTCCCTATGAAGTTAATATGACATATGCAGGTTAAAAGTCTTGAAAGAAAGAAGTATGCCCATGTTGTTGTTGATAATTCAAATAAAGAGGAGGATGTCATAGACAATGTTAAAACATCAATTCTCATAAGTGATGTTTATGAAAATATAACAGGTTTTGAACCTGCAAAGGGTAAATCAACTGAAGATTTAACATGCAACGGTCCCTCCATTAGAGTTTAAGAGGATCATCCTAAGGATCTGATTATTTGGAATCTAAATGAAGGGATTACCACCAGTTCAAGAGAAGTTTATCAAATGCTTGCTTTATGTCAAATTTTAAGGAAACTCTTGTTGAAGAGGCTCAAACAAAAGATGAGAGGATTGCTATTAATAAAAGCATTTTTAGTTTTGTTACTTCTGTATTGATGAATGTTTATTCTGATGTTTTGCCTAATGTTCAAACATTTGTGGCAAATGAAGTGAGTCTTGATGGTGACTATGTCATGGAGGGTGAAGCTTGTGATTCTGGACCTAATCATATGTCCACTACTGTTGATGTTGGAAATAAGTGGAATAAAGAAATGAAAACTAAATAAGTTATGCATATTGATCTTGTGTCTGATGAGGAACCAATCTCAAAATGTTTGGTCCCTAGTATAGCCAAAAGGTTGAAGAGTAGACGACGAAAAAATGGTTCTTTTGAAGGTACCCCTTCTAAGAGTCCTTTGAAGAAAGTTGCAGCTGTGGAGAAAACACCTTCAAAAAGTGAAAAAAGGAAAATATCCAATTAGTCCCTCAACATCTTGGAGCAATTTTGATAACCTCATATAAAAAGAGAAAAATCGTGTCTTCAAGTGACTCTAAATTTGAAGTTAAAGAAGATGTTCAAGACATTACACCTCTAAGAATATCTACTTCTAAAAGGGAGTGCATTACTGTTCATAAGGATCCTCTGGACAATGTGACTTTCCATGATGTGCAAAGTACTGAAAAATGGAAGTTTGTTCCCCATAGAAAGATTGCTATGGAAATGGAATTGGGTAAGGATGTCTTAAATTGTAAGGAGGTTGTGGAGATTATAAAGGATGCTGGTTTGATGAAGACTGTCACAAAGGTTGGTCCTTGATATGAAAGTCTAGTTAGGGAGTTTAGTGGTAACACTCCTAAAACATGTGACATAATCAAGGAGTGCATGAGGTTATTTGACAGGGGCAAGAGTTAGAAGACCACCTGAAGGGGATCAAGATTGTTTTGTTTCCAATGTTATGGTGTGCTCCAAGGAACTACTTGCTCGGTTTTTTTAAGGATAATGTCGTCATGACATGTTGGAACATTAGCCTTTGCGAATGCTAATGCACTTCATTTTATGGTGTTAATGTGGATTGTGCCAGGTGATACCTTGAAGGGCAGAGGAGAAACAAACTTGTACTAAACAATCTGTTTGTGGTATGACGCTCATTCAGTACCCTGGTTATTATGGTTAGTTCTATAGGTACCTGATAGAGGGAATCTCCTCTTTATGTGCATAAGGATGATGACTAACACTTTAAAGTCAGACAAGATGTCTGGACATTATGCTTGTGACAAGAAGCTTATTGAGGTGTGTAAAGAATATTTCTCTCTGTAATGCATGGGTTGCTACATGTATCTATGATCTGACCTTGGAGGTTGATCAACTAATGATGTGTCCTAGTATGGTTCTCATATGTTCCTTGCAAAGGGATGCGTATGAATTACTATAAAGATAAAAATTCCGATGGATGTTGACTCTAAAACCATAGTTTAGTTAAATCCTTGTGATTGAGACTGATGTCTGAACTGATGTTGAAACATCATCTCAATTGTTTATATCTCTAAAAATGGAGTTATTTTTTATGGGAACTAATTTAGAGTTTATAGTGTGGAGATTTTTGCTCACCATTAGATTCAGAATCATAATGTCTTATCATGGTGGAGTATAAAATTAAGCTACTGGCCAAATCTGGTGTGGTTTGTGGTGTGAGTATCTATCATGATGAAGAATCCACATGTGTAAGATCAAATGCTCTGATATCTATGGTGTTCAACCATTTGTGAAGAGGTAGCCTTATTTTCTACTTGTACCTCTAAAGGAGGTTGTGAAGGAAGAATAGTGAGGAAATGTTCTTCTCCCGTGGGAGTGTAAGTGCCTGATGTCAAATCCTATGTGCATGACATATTACCTGACTAAATAGGGGTAATGTATACTTGTTTGATGTGTCGCTGTAGGGTTGTAGTCTGAACAAAGCTTGCATGCTCTCATACAACTTGTGTTCTTGTATCTCTAAAGGTTGTAGGGATCAAAGGGGGTTCTGTTATTGGATGTGAGATGTCAGATATGATGTCTTGACATTGTGTTCAGTTTTTTCAACTGAGTCTGTCTGAAAATAGTAGGATTGGAATTCAGTGGGAAGCTTTGTATTTTGGAGTATTATGATTCTACTTCAATCTTTTATGTGTGCCTCTAAATGGTTCTTAGAAGGGTTCTTCCCTGGAACAATCTTGTGTCCCGAGTCAGACAGATCACATGGTGGATTCTGGTCTGAGTATGATGCTGAGGAAGTTGGTGCTCCAACTTGAGTAGAATATCAATCATGATGTCAAGACACTGCACCAAGTGGTTGTAGTGAATATCCATGTGATGATGGCCAAAGTGAAGATTTCAGAAAAGTGTAAAGGAAATGTTGGACATCTCTCTCCCAAAGTGATTAACAGGTTCTTTAGAAAGTTCACATACGTTGTTGGTATAAGAAATAGAATTGGTTATGATGCATATATTTTAGAGCAAGTTCTAAGACAAGTTGCCTCATCGGCTATCAGGTTGACGGTAATGATGCTCATGTGTGATTGTGTTATTTTGGTGGTGTTTCTGATTTTCTAAGGGTTTAATTCATAGAACATGTATTAACACCTTGTATTGTGGTCCTTTTTGTTTAGATTGTCTTTGTATTTATTATGGCTAAAAAGGATGACTAGTATGTAGTTTGATGTGTGCACTAACTACTGACCATTGATTGTTGGTGGTTACCTTGCTACTGTTGAGGGGGAGAATTTTCTAATTCTCTATAGCATGTTTTGAGGGGGAGTCCCATAGCTGGATTATACTATGTGTAGACTATACAAACTGTCTTTTCTCTCCATGCTTATGTGATGAGTAGCTTCCACTATACTCTGATGATTGATTTTTGATTTTTTTTGCTGCTAACTGTATGATGTGTGGATTGGATGTTGCACCTCTGACGTGTGTGTTTAATTTGTTTTCAAACCTTAATTGTTCTCTTGTTTTAGTGTGTAAGGAGTATTAAGTTGTTTTAGCCAAAATAAGCTAAATGGAGAGATTGTTAATTCTCTATTTTTATGATTGATATTATGTTTGATAAAACCAACTTAACAGAAACATGTTGAAGTAAGATGTTCTATCATTTGAAAAAATATGTCAAATAAGATGTCATATCCTGAAACATTCGACATCTTGTCTGGTACATGTCTGCAACTTGGACTTATTTGTTTTAAATTACTGAATATTCTGGGAATATTGAGTAATTCTATGTGGCGCTTAGTTTAAGGATTAAGAGATTCAAGTTTAATTCAAGGAGTTTTATTAGTTTCTAATTATGGAGATAATTTAGGAAACTAATGATTGAAGTCTTACTTTTATGGAGAATATTCAGCAGACTTTTAGCAGCTGCCTTGCTGCGTTTTTGAAGCCCAAATCCAGTCCAAACATTGCTTATATATAGACTGTATTTGTAACCTAAGAAATAAGAACAGAACGTGTGTGTTGTGTGATTAAGGATTAGGATTTGTTGTTTGTTCTTTGTGATCCATTCTATAATAGAGTTGAACTGAGTTAATTGTGAGCCTCTCTAATATCATCTTCATATAAGAGTAGGACTGTCTCTGTTGAGTTGTAATTATTGTAAATCACTCATAAGCTTTTAAGCAAGAGTGAATTCTGTTTATTGGAGTGTGTCTCCTTCTTGGTTGTCAATCACTCTTAAGCTGCTAAGTATAGAGTGATTGTGTGTTTTTGAAGTTTTCTTCTAATTCTTTTGAATTGTGTTCTTGTCACTGTTTATGACTGAAATGGAAGTGAGAAGGGTCTCATACCTCAGTGTGTCTTAGGTAGAAGTATAACACGAGTAGTGATTAAGTTAGAAGTTGTAAACGAGGGAGTTTAACTTCAAATTGATACTATTTATAGTGGATTTTCTTCCTGACTCGGTAGCCCCTAAAGTAGGTGTTGTTGTACACCAAACTGGGTTAACAATTATGTGTGTTTCTTTGTTTTCTATATTATTTATTATTTGAAATGGTTCATTGTGTTGTTGTTCAGAGATCAATGTCTCGACATCTTTTAGGACATCTGAGATCTGAATACTAGAATTTCAAGTTTCATATGAAAAGAATTAAATTGATAGTTCAAATATTTTTATATACAAAAACAACTTTAATATAGATTCAAATGTTTTTATAAATAATGTAAAAAAAGAATATTTATATACGGGAAAAACACATTGTTGATAAAAATATTTTTGTATACGAAAAAAATACTATTGTTATAAACGAGAACAACTTTACTACTAATCCAAATATTCAGTAATAAAAATTTATGGATAATTTTTTTTTAAATATGTGAAAAGATTAAGGGAAAACATTACTCCAACTTTATTGACATGAACAACTTTACTATTGATCCAACTTTATTACAAGAAAAATGAAACCATTGATCCAAACATGTAGTGATTATATATACAACAAATATAAGCACCATTTTTATTATCTATTTTAGAAATAATAATCTTTGTTGATTAAATAATTTTGTCTTTCTTTTATTATATTTTTATTATATTTTGAAAACAAATATGTATATGATACCAGTATCCGTGCGAACGCACAAGTATTTCACTAGTGTACAATAAAAATAAAGGATTATATACACATGTGTAATCAAGACATTAACTTTTGCCATGACATCCCATGCCACCCTTAGTGCATTCCATATCATTAAAAAAAATAACTTATAAGATAAGTTAATTATTTTTTGAAAAATAATGTCCAAGAAAATGGGCTGAGAGATAGTTCAAGATTATAGTAGCTCAGTGGCAGATACAAGGCTCGGCCAGACTGATCATTTTCACAAACTCTGAACCAAAATTTCTTAGTTAGTGAGAGACCAAAATAAATGTGAAATCCTAGATCAATTCCATTTTATTGTTTGAGCTCGCGAAGCAACTAAGTAAATTTACAATCTTTGAAAATTTACACAAACTTTATAATTTTTTTGGCTTCGCCACTGATTTAGACTTTCATATGCTTTTCATCCTCACGTGTAACTTCCTAACACCAAACAACATTAGAAATTAAGTTGTCACCCTCAATATATACGACACCCCACATATTTTTATATTTTTAAACTCTCAATAGACAAATTTGAGTTAAAAATGCGAATGAAAATTTTGATAATTCATTCAAAATTTCCGATAATAGACCAAATTTTTGATAGTTCATTTTTAAATTATCAGTATAAATTTTATTGGATTTTTAAATTTTTTTGATAAAAACAAACATTTCAAAATTTTTAATAAAAAAATACAAGAATTTTTACTGGAAATTTTCGATAAAAATTCATATATTTCAAAATTAATAGTAAAAAATTTCAAAATTTTTATCTAAAATTTTAAAATTTTAAGAAAAAACTCATGAAAATTATGATTTCTTATATCAAAATTTTCGAAGCTTCCGATATTTTTTCAAAATTATTGGTATAGTTTAAAATTTCCAATAAAAATTCATGAAAATTATGATTTTTTACTTAAAAAATTTTAAAATTTCTAATATTTTTTCAAAATTTTCAATATTTACTCGTATTTTATAAGATAAAAAATTTTAGTAATAATAAAAAAGAAAGTATATGAGAGAGTATAAGTATAAGTGGAGGGGGTATACTAATAGCAGTAATACGTAAAAAAAAAACACAAAATTAATAACACTAGTGTGTACAATTACAAATTACAACAACACATATAATAATAATAATAATATTTTACACAAACTCAAGCACACAAACGCTAACACCTATAACGAGAAAAGAAAGAAGAGAAGAGAGAGAAGAAGAATAGAATAGAGAAGAAAAACAAAACCCAGAATCTTGAAGAGTGAAAACAAGTAATCATCCCAAAAGCCATATTATATCACTAATTAAATTAATCTATAGTTTTTGTATAAATTATTATTAAGATTTATAAGATTAAATTATTTATTTATTATTCTCTCTTTCGTATTGTAATTGTATTGTGAAAGAGAGATCTTGTTCTTCTACAATGTCCACTTTGTAGCCAACTAGGTAAATCTCGTATACCTAATTTCACTTCATCACTCCAATTTTCGCGTTTTTTTTTTGGTTTCAAGTTAACGCTTCGAATCGAACCTTCTTTTTCCCCTTTTCATCGATTCTCTTTATTCCGTTTTAATTTGGTGTGTGCGTTGTTAATTAAAGTTTTCGAAATTGGGATTAGGGTTTTTTTTTTAATTTCTTTTTCTGCTTGTTTTTTTTTTTGGTATTTATTATGCTCAGCTTTTTTTGTTTGGTTTTTTTTAGGGTTTCGTTGGATCGTATCTGAGGGATACCTGCTGAATTTGGAAAATTTCTGTGTGATTAGGGCTTGGTTCAATGGAAGACTGTGATTGTTGATTTTGCCTGAAATGGGCAAAAGTTTTGATTTTGTTGGAGTGAAAGATTGTGGGTTTGGAACTACGGTGTGTTTGATTATTTACAGTTGGAGATTGCTTAAGATGGTATTTAACATTGCTTCTTTGAGCATGGAGCAAGATTGTATATACTGTTATCAGTGATTAAGATTTTGATAACCGTTTTTGGACTCGGTGCAAAGGCCTTCTTAGTCACTGGTTTTGGTTTTTCTCTGTTTTTGTTTTTGTTTTCCACTTTTTGACTTGGGGGTGTTTTTGGTTTTGGGCCTCGACTAAGAGAAAAAGGGAAGCTGATATTACTGTGTTTCGGTGGTCTATTTTTAGTTTCTGAAGGAGTTGAGATAGTTTTTTTGAGCTTAACACGGTTAGACATTACCACGGTGCTTCTCGAACTACACTGATTGGAGTTGTGTTGAACCATTTACCTCCACATAGGACTTTTAAGTAGTTAGACTGAGTGATTGCTTTTTTGCTCATTGGTTTTGAATCAATTTTCAGTAATATAGTTAGAGCTGTTCGATTACTCTGGTTAAGGCAAGTATACCTAGGTGGTTTGGATATTTTGTGTATGCAAGAGGCTTAAGGAGGAATATTAAAGCTGGAAATGAACGTAGTGACATGACATGGTGCATGGACAGGATTATAGTTGCTGGTTCGGTCCGGTTCTGGAACAGTGCTGCTTGAAAGTAATTGGAGCACTCTCAATTTCGGAAGGATCATTTTACACTAGGCATATCTGGATTTTGTGCAATGTCGCGCTGCTTTCCATTTCCACCACTAGGGTATGAAAAGAAGACTAGAACGGATGATGTTGACTTACCAAAAAAGGTTAATATACTTTTCTTATTTTCGCATCATGCATATAGGTTGGCATAATATTCTTTATGATGATAAATGGAGTTTCCTGTTAGTTGCACTGTATTGTGCATCGATAAGGTTCATTTTCTTAAAGGAACACTGAAATATATACCTAGAAAAGAGATGCTATAATAATGCAGTATCTAATGTTTTATCTGTGTCTTAATAGCTATTCTACAAAAATTTGGGATCTCTCTAAAATTGTCTAATACATAGTGAAAATATAAAAGATCTTGTTCAATTGAGGTATAGCTGCTGATGAAAATGATTGAAGACTTACATTAATTATTTTTTCTTGGTCTATGTTGATGAGTAGGGTGTGCACTTTTTGAAGTTGGTTCATGTGATTTACAACTTTCTATATTGAATGTTGCTTTAATCTGTCTTCTTAATCTTATATGGTCACTGGATTCTTGTTAGTTTTTTCTGTGTTGTGTTCAAAGTTTGGCTTTTTGGACTGTTGGGATACTGTTATGTGATTATAAACAATGTATGCAAAATCGAGAGTTTACGCAGAAACGGTAGAGGATTGAAAAATCATAACTCGAGGATCGTAGCACGGATTGTAAGATCTTACCACTTGATAGAAAAATATATTTATATATGCGTAACTATATACACATGCCCAAAAATCATCATATATAAAGAAAATAAGCTTCTTATCATAACCCAAAACATAAGTTCACCATTTTAATCATAAAATCATAACCAAAACATAACCAAAAAAACTTAGTTCAAAATGAGAACAATCTAAAAACAACTATTCTAGACATTCAAAATGTCATCAAGTCCCATATATGCATAGTTGTCTTCATCCCCATCTTCATCTTCATTCTCTTTTAATTCTTCATCAATCGAATCAGCTCTACAAGGTTTGACATTCTTACTAATTCCGGAACAGCTCTACAAGGTTTAACATCCTTACTAGTTCCAGCCAAATGATGTTTGATTCGATAAACTCCTCCGCTAAACTCTTCTCCACAATACTTGCACTTCTACCTTCTTGTGGTCGGAATAGTTCTGTTGGTTACTGAGGTATTGATGCACTTTCATTATTGGAAGCCATTGATGCAAAAGAGATGAGGAAAGTTTGCAGAGAGGTGTGCGTTTATTCTTAATAGAGGAAGCGTGTATACATTACTTATTGCGGAGATTTTTGTTCTAACGGTAAAAGGAGATTTTTTTCTATCACTAATAATGATGAAGATATGGGTAATTGAAATGTTTTAATTGTGGTAATAATCAGAATGATGGAGATATGGGTGAGTGGAAGGTCTTTTTGGAAAGGGAAAGGTATTATGCCCTGGGGCGAGCATCTCTCTGAATTCTCATTTAACAAAATTTAAAATTGCAGTTTTAATACGACCCGACCCGGATCCAGTCTATTTTAAAATTTAGGGTTTTTTCCCAAAAAAATGAGTGCCACTTCTCTGCAAAAACTCGCGAGTCTGCTTCCTGAACTCGTACGAGTTCGCCGAGTTTGCTGCTTACTGTCCCACCAGAGTCGCAGCACGCCGGCGTGCCATGAAAACGCTAAAATGTACGATTTTACGTCCCATCTCGCAATTTTGCATACACTGGTTATAAATATCAAGTTCCAAGAGGTTCGAGCGGAGAAGTTGTGTGATGGCTGGTGAAGGTCATGATATTAGGATGATTAGAAGTTTATATGCTAGACTTACTTTATTTACATCCATCTTTTCATTTATTGCCTAGTGCCTAGCCTTGGCAATTTTTTTTTCTTGTTTAGTAAACAATGGCCATTTATTTTTTAAAGCAAATTTAATTTGTTCTTTCATGTTAGGGGTGATCAGTGTTGTATCATATACTTCAAACCACTATAATATTTAGCATCTGTATAAGTAAATGCATAATTGTGTGTCAGTCTCTCATAATATGTAGACAAATGCTTTTTATACCATTGTTTTGCTCATTTTGTTGGGGGTGTAGGTAAACTTAGTTTTTTTATTAATATTGAATGAGAAAAAGTAATCGACAATAATCAAGTTATATACATGACAGAAGCTGATACCAAAGTACAAATTATGTCTGACTTGTAATTATGGCAGAATATGTTTACAACATACACATAATTACAACATATACATACTTCACACATAAACTAAAGAAATAAATAGTATATACTATTATAAGACAATTCTTATCCAAGAAATTTGTGAGTCTTGGTCTCTCCCTCCAAGAATTAGAGAGATTGGTCTCTCCCTCCCAAAACCATTCAAAAACTATCACATCCCTACTTTCTCCTTTCCTTTCTATATTTATTCTAAAACAAAAACACACATAACCATAACTGCTACATATAACCGACATTATTAAAAATAACTACCCATAACTGCCCATAATAAGAAAGTCTATCAGAATTCTTTTGTTGTTAAATAATGACATTTGGATTTGATTGCTGTGCCTTCCATGTCTAATCAGATGCATATTCTAAACTGAACTACCAGACTATTAATTAAAATGTCTCCCAGAGCCATCTACACTGGAAAAGCTGCTTCTAGATATTCTTAGCCCATCCAACTGATTTTGCATTAGTAAGCCAGTTATAGTGCTTACAAGATACCTCTTCTCTGAACCTTTTGCATTGCAAGTTTTTTTGGTAGCAGATCTATAGAACATGCTATGCGTTCCTTGCTATGTGCTCCTTGAATTTTTTAACTTTTGATTGGCAGACTGGACTACCAGAATTTGGAGTCTTGAGAAGCTATGGCTATTGACAGATCTCTCCTTTTCTGATAGTATTGTTTTCTCTGTTTCTTTCTGTTAGTCCCTCTGTTTCAACCTTGGATTCTGTTTGCAGTAGCAACTCTGTCCTCTGATAGCTAGCCAAGCTTTCCGATAAAAAAGCATTTTAAATTTTAAGATGTTTTTCCTTTTTTTAAAAATAATTTTTTTTTTTATGTAGGATGAGGATTCTTGTGTATCTGATGGTTAATGTTATAGACATCAGTTAGATTATCAAATTGGGTGATTTCTATGTTATCAATACTGCACTATAGCGGAATAGTATAGTTGTGGTAGGGTTCGGTGCAAAGCTTTTGTCCCGCGAGCCGCTCTCAGCAATAGCAGGTGTAGCGGCTCCAAACTGCTATCGCAGCCGCTATTTGGGTTTTGAGGTGAAATTCCTCAAATTCTTATTTCAAACCCTTGTCTTTTTTGAGGGTATAAATGCTGTTGAAGTTAGTATTTGTGCTGTTGGAGTTTATTTAAAGTCCAACATTGCTTAGGTTCCTAGGCTGTTGAATTGAGGGCAACCTCACCCTTTGAGCTAGCTTTTGGAGATGAGATCCAAACATATTTAACATGATATCTGAGCCGGGTTAAGGACTGCAATGTGGGCATTTGACCTAGGCCTACCATGCTAGGTGTGAGGGTGGGTGTTGAAGTTGGTATTTGTGTTGTTGAGTTTGTTTAAAGTCGCACATTGCTTAGGTTCCCGTGCTGTTGAATGTATAAATATTTGAGGGAAACCTCACCCTTTGAGCTATCTTTTGGGATGAGATCCAAGCATATTTAACAAATACCAGTTTTGACCCTTTTAAGAGAAAAATTATGTTATTCGTTCTGATATGTTCTTGCTCACAAACAATCGTTATGTTGTTCCTACTTTTGCACACTGACACTATCTGGGATTAACAACATAGGGTGATTTAGGGTATTGCTTGCATGAAGCCTTAAACTTCAAACTTAATTGAACTCTGCAACTTAAGTTTTGAACTTTGTTATAGTTAATTGTGCTTCCTTCTATTTAGTAGTTTCAGAGGACTTTCAGATAACTGTTGACTAAGACTATATATATTTTTTAGTAATCACCTTAAAAAATAATTCAAGGTATTGAGTTTGAATTTTCCTCCCTGAATGAGCATTGTCTATGGATTATTTGTACAGTAAACTAAAACTTTTGAGTATTTAGTTTAAACATTGAGAGTTCAGTAAAAAAAGTTATATCGAAACATAAATGTTGCTTTAAATGTGCTAGAGTAAGGCCCCCTTCAAATGGCCTTCTATTTTTCTAACCCTGTTTCTTGAACCTTGAACAACCTCTCTTAGGTAGGGAATGTTTGTAAAAAAAAATCTTGTAAGAGTTTTCCAAGGAAGTAATTATAGGTCCCTAGGGACATTTGTTTGTATTTTGAAATAGAATGGAGGAGGCTAAAGTATTTCTCTATTTTCAAAACATTTTTGTAATCGGTTTCAACTTTAAATATCTGGTGAATTGCAAATTTCTGTGCATTTGCAAAGATTGATCCTGTTAGGAGTTTCCCCTATGTGGCATTAGATCTTGTTTCTTTACCCAATTTAGTGCTGGCACATGAAAAAGTGAGAACATTGATTTTTTCAAAAAGACGTGATAACATTAATTATTTAGTTAATGCTTACCAAAGGGAGTTTAAGTGGTATGTTGAATTCATTCAACTTTTGAGAGCACACAATTGCATTCTGCAGCAGCCTGTTCCTTATTTTTGAAATGATTAATTTACTATAGCTTCCTTGTGTTATGGAGCGTATCGGTGTCAACGTTTTAAGAACTGAACCAAAATGGTGAGACATCTGATGAAGAATTACAAGCCCATATTGATCCTCAAGGGAAAAAACTACTCTTATAACATATTTTTCTTGGATAGAGTAGTACCTCTCACTAAAGGTTTATATGTTCTATGTGAGAAAAAATCTCGATATTATATTTACACTAAATGTTATAATAACATACAGAATCTAAAAGGTATTTATAACTCAAAAATTGAAATCAAATTCTTATTTAAATATAAAATCCTAACAATATGTTTATCCCTTGTCATATCTTCTTGGTCATGTTTTATTGGTTGAGCTGTTGAATTAGATATAATTTGAACGAGAAATATTTCCTGTCACTATATTGGGTATTCCAAAAAGATTTCGGTTTTGCTAAGTATGATTCTCTAGAGAACATGTTAATAGAGTTAAGTATAAAACTATTGTCTGATTTAGTAGACAATTGTATTGACTATGGTGCATAGATTGCTTCTTGTGATCGAGAAGATGCAGAAGACTTTGTTGGTTGTTTTGTTCTGTGCCTTAATTTTGTTAGTAGCAAAAATATCAGGGTTTTCTCACTGCTTCCTTCCCTCTCCCATACAAGTGCTCTTACACTTTTCTTCTCATTTTCACGTCTTCCATTTTCTTTCCCGGTGTTTAGTTTACAACAAAAAAATGTAAAAATGTCAGCACATGTTAATTTTAATATGAAATATATTCCAAAAGAAATACAGGAATTGGAAATTGAAATGGCTAGTTGGGTTGAGAGTGACATAATCTAATCATCGAGTTTCCCTTAAAACAAACAAACCTAAAAATGTTGTAGCACATGTTAAATTTAATCTGTAACATGTGTAATATAATTCAAAAGAAAGATGTGAGCTGCTAGTTGGGTTGAGAGAATTTGGTCATCGAGTTTGTTTAAAATTGGGATATTGCTGAAGTTTTACTTTTGTTGAAAATTCATCAAAAGAAGCGTGTTTCCCCCCCTTTTTGGGTTTATAGTTGTCTAAATTATGCTACTTAAATCTGGAATATTTTTTATGGGTAAGCTGCGAGTCTCTAATTGACTTTGATTTGTTGGTAGTTATTTTTGAAATTTATTCCTTGGATTTCTTTAATCTTCAAGAAGAACACGTTTTGCATTATTTCTTGTTGATATTGTTTTTTTTCTCTATTTGTTTGCTCATAGGTGGAGTAGAGTTGAGGTTGCTAAGTCGTTGTGTGTGTTTCCTTATTTGTTCGTAATATCTCTGTTGCAGGAAAAGCATAGAGAAAAAAAGCACAAAAAAGATAAGAAGGACAAAGAGAAGAAGGACAAAGAGAAGAAGGAAAAGAGGGAAAAGAGGGAGAAAGAAGGACGCGATAAAAAACCTAAGGATAAGGATAAAAAGGAAAAAAACAGGGAAAAAAAGAAAGATAAAGACAAGGACAAGGACAAAGGAAGAGATAGCGATACAAGTAAAACCAGTACTGCTGATGGCAAAGGACTTCCAGGACAAGCTGAAGGTCTCAATGCAGGTAAACTCCAAAAGGAAATCAAGCCTGATAAGAAGGATGTCTTTGTCGATAATAAAATTATCAAACAGTATACTGGCAATAATGGGGAGATGGTTAGAGAGATTAATCATCTGGCTAAGGAGAACAAGGATTCTAAATTCCTCCTGGAGTTTGAGAGGAGAATTAAGGATGATAATGGAGCGGCTGGTAATCAATTGGTTCAGAAGTTTACAAATTCAGACCATAGAAAAGATGAGGGGACTGTTAGGTTGTTGGCTAGGAATAGTGGCACCTTGCGCGATGACAGTGAAAAACTCAAGGACAAGGGTTTTGATGCTAAGAAGATTGAGGGGAAAGGAATTAATGCCCAGGTACGGCCTTTTGGAAATGCAACAGTTCAGAATCATGCAGGCAATTTTCATCCTAACACTGATAGGGGTTTTGATGCTAAGAAGATTGAGGGGAAAGGAATTAATGCCGAGGTACGGCCTTTTGGAAATGCAACAGTTCAGAACCACGGCGGCAATTTTCATCCTAAAGCCGATGGAGTGCCCAAACTTTTGGGGAAGTATATGGACAGGAATTTGGAAGCAACAGTTGGAGGAAAAGAAAAGGTTAATGAAAAGAAAGACAAAACAGTTGGAGGAAAAGAAAAGATTGATGAAAAGAAAGAGGAAGGAAAAGAAAAGGTTAAGGAAAAGAAAGAGGAAGGAAAAGAAAAGGTTAAGGAAAAGAAAGAGGAAGGGAAGGAAAAAGACAAGAAAAAGAAAGATGATAAACGAGGTGAAAAAAGAAAAAATAAAGAGGAGAAGAAAGGGCATGGGAAGGACAAAGATCGGGATAAAAAGAAAGAGAAAACTAAGGAGCATACTGAAGTTAAAACCACAGAGCAGAGTAAATTAAAAGAAAGCAACAATGTTGGTCCTATACATTCAAATTCCTTCTCACGGATTAGCAAGAACATCCATGAGAATTCTGTTGGCCCTGAAAGCAACAACGTTGGTTCTATACATTCAAATTCCTTCACACAGATTAGCAAGAACAGCCACGAGAATTCTGTTGGCTTTGAAAATAGCAAGAAACGGAAGGAGATCGATTCAAATGGAGTTCCACGTGGTGAGTGTTATTTATGACGAGTCTTGTTCTCGTTGATTTACAGTGGTCTTATATGTTGTGTTAAAATATAACTAAGGTGTTTCTCTTGTTGGGCTTGGAATAGTATTTTTATGACCTGATAGACTATAATCATATCCTTCATCCTACTAGATAAAATGGTGGGGTTTTCACTAAGTCACGTGCTTATATTGATATTTCATTCATGGTATTTGGTATAACTTCCTTGAGTATGTATGTATTGTTTTGATGCTGGCTGACAGATTATAATTGATTTTTGAATTTTCTTACAGCCAATGAGAATTGGCCGAGTAAGTTGCCAAGATCATCCTCTTCTCACTCATTCACAGAAAATGGAAGAATATTGGAACCTTGCACAATTTCTATTCCAATTGCTTCAGATAGACCAGAAATAGCTGTCAGCAGTGCTAAGATAGAAAACAAGGAATGCAAGATAAATGGCTTCATTGAAGTTCGACCACTTGCAGTACCCTCAAACAAGACTCACGCCACTCCCATGTCAGCTGTTCCGTTAATTGAAGCATCTTCAAAGCCACCCCATCCAGATACCAAGTACCTAAACCACATATATTCGGTACCTAAAGTGGAATGGTCTGCTTTGGATGATCAAGAATGGTTGTTTGACAACAGTATTTCGCAAGAACGGAAACCCATGGTGAAATCTTCAGAGGCTGGGGAGACACCGCAAGTATGGGCAGAAGTTGTGCACTTAGAGCCACCAGATGTTTTTGCTCTGCCATATGTCATTCCATACTGATTGATTATTCAATTGGCACACAATACTTCAATTATATCTGCTTCACAAGGACCCACTCCCTTGGCAACATTTGTGGGAGGAACTACATTACTTGGTGCTAGAAACCGATTTCAATCTTTGTGACGCGTTCCACTGCGCTATGACAATTGACAACAAGTAATGATTGACTGGCTGTCCATTGATCTTAATCAGTTTGGATGGTTACTCGTGTCTTCCAGATTGCCTTGATTTTGCACTGATGGTGAGTAATCTTCTGTCACGAATTGGAAGCAATCATCCGTAATGAATTGTTGCACTGCTGCAGGCCAGGATGAGGTTTTTGCATCTTAGTAAAATTCATTTAGACAGATTTTATAGAGGCAGCCTAACAGGTTGTGGAGAAAGTGAGGAAAAGGGGTACTGATACAAGCTTGTTTATTTATACTGAGAGCTGAACCAGTCTTTCTAATTGAGAATGAGAATGCAACTGCAACCAGATGTGATCTTAATTTGCAACTACACAATTTTGATTTGTAACATAGAACTCCTATTTACCAGAATGTGTATGATAGAGAAGGGGAAAACATAGTCGGATTCATTTATTCAGTTTCTTGTAAATTTTATTGTTTATCTCGTAGGAGTGTTCATGATCATGGTTAAATTGAATTATTGTAGAAAAAGTAGAATAATGCAGTTATGTTTTATTCATAAGTCAAGGACTGTTTATATAGAGAAATTACAGTAAAATTATAATTAGTTCTAGATTTCTTAATCAGTTGGGTCATGTATGATTGGAATCAATCTAGAGTAGTAGCAAAAGATAGAAGTATTATGACATTGTTCGATTTTACAACAGGAGAAAATAGGTCCGAGTGTAGCTCTTAACTACTAAACAATTGAGAGGTGAAAACAAAAAAGGAGATACATTTGAAAATAATATAAAATTAGATAAAATTTGAGTACAACATCTAATGAGTTTTCTAACGACTATATGCATATAGGATAAAAAACAAGACTTTTAAAAGCAAAAGTTGACTCACTTTTTTGTTTTGTTTTGTTTTAAGAGGTTGATTTTTCTCTAGTTGATATTCTAGGTAATATTAGATGTGGACTTAGTTTCGTTACCTTTAGTGGTGAAGAGTTACCTTAATAAAACTCGAAAATGTCATTTCATAATTTTGAAATATTTTTGGATGTATCTATTGCACATTAAAACACCTTCTAAGTGAGATGCACCACCATTTCTCTGAAGCTAGGACCAAAAGTGTATCTTTGAATTCATCCATATAATGGTTTTGTTTATTTTATAACTCAATTATTAATTCGTAAGTGCGGTTTTTGATTTGTCAAGTAGAAATTTTAAAAAAACACCACATTGCATGTATTTCACAACTCAGTGAATAATTCAAAAGTGCATTTCTGATTTTTTCAAGTAAAAAATTTAATAAAACACTACCTTGAAGGAGCATTTATCAACGACAAGAAATTCCTACGGAGGTTCTCTGCTAAGTTATTTTTGAGCAACAAAATTTTGTACAAGCGCAACCATGATTCAACTCTGCTTCGTTGTGTGGACAAGAAGGAAGTTGAGAAAATTATGGAAGATATGCATGAAGGTATCTTTAGTACTCATTCTAGTGGGCATACTATGGATAAAAATATTCTGAGAGCGCATTGTTACTGGTCGACTATGAAAACTGATTACCATCATCACTCAAGAACTTATCACAAATGTCAGCTTTATGCTTACAAGGCACACGTGCCTCCGGTTCCTCTAAATGCCTTGACTGCTCCTTGGCCATTTGCAATGTGGGACATTGACATGATTGGAAAAATCAAGCCTACTGCTTCTAATGGACATCATTTCATCCTTGTCGCTATTGATTACTTCATAAAATCGGTTGAAGTAGCCTCATTTGCCTCTGTTACCAAGAATGTTGTTTCCCGATTCATTAAGCATAACCTTATCTGCCAGTATGGAATCCCCAAAAGGATTATCATAGACGATAGTACTAATCTCAACAATACTATGATCAGGGAACTCTACATACAGTTCAAGATCAAACATCACAACTCTTCCCCGTATCAACTGAAGATGAATGGCGCAATAGAAGCTGGCAATAAGAACATCAAGAAGATTATACAAAAGATGACACTGACATATAAAGATTGGCATGAGATGTTGCCATTCGCTTTTCATGGCTATCGCACTTTAGTATAAACATCGGCTGGGGTAACCCTATTCTCTCTAGTATATGGTATGGAAGCGGTCCTACCTGTCGAAATCCAGATTCCTTTTCTAAGGATTATGAAAGACGCAGATTTAGACGAAGACGAGTGGATTCAGACTAGGTTGGAACAGCTAAACTTGATCGACGAGAGGAGGCTTACGGCTGTCTGTCATGGTCAGATGTATCAGAAGCGTATGATCAAAACCTTCAACAAAAAGGTTAAGCATCGAGTATATCAGGCTGGTGACTTGGTAATAAAGTGTATCATCCTACTGCAAGGTGATCCCAGGGGAAAATGGACTCCCACCTACGAAGGGCCATTTATAGTCAAGAAGATATTTTCTGGCGGTGCTATGATACTTACCATCATGGATGATGAATACTTTCGACACCCTGTGAACGCAGACATAGACAAAAGATACTACGTATGAAAGAGACCCTCTAGGTTGATTGGCCTAGGTAAAAATTAGGGAATCCCGACGAATAAAATGGGTTCAGGCAAAAATCAGGGATATATATAAAGATTGTGCACCCGGCAAGTCAAAAACCTGAAAAGGCGGCTTGGGCAAAAAAGGGTATCTCAGTGGACTGAAAACCCGAGAGGCGGTCCAAGAAAAAGTTAGGGATTCAAGCGTATGACTATGTCTCATTGGATCATCTACTTACATCAAGATTTGTTACCGACGTCAAGTTCAAATGGTACAGATCAATTTAGTCAACTCCTTCCGACAACGAGGGATGAGATGCTTGAAAACATAAAGGCAATAGCAGAGTTGAAACTCGATGGGGTCGTTTACACATAACTATATGTTTTGTTTTTACTCTTTTCATTTCATGACGATTTCCTCTTACTAGGATTTCTGTTTCTATGTACAAAAACATCTATTTATAGGAAAATTATTAATACAAGATGATTTCAGAATTCAAATTTTGTTTTATCTTTTCTCTTTTGTTTGCAAAAACATCCAATGACTAAATTGAATGAACATATGCATATGATATGATTAATGTTAATAAATATATGCATAAAAACAAGAATCAACATTTACTCAAGACTCTAGGAATTGGGATAACATTCAGGTCGTCCACAAGTCCCCATAGGAAAATCCCCACAGAGTAACCTCCATGGGATTATCCCCACAGAATAACCTCTATGGGATTATCCCCACAGAGTTACCTTCACAAGCTCATCCCTGAAGGAGATACGTTCCTCCCGCAAGTTTAATATGCTTCCAGACAGGAATTGAGGCATCTTCCAACTATTAATATAACCATACTCCCCAGCAAATCCCCTTACCGGATAAAGGAATCTGATCATTTCTCCAGCATATAGTGGAAATTTTCTCCGCATAACCTACAAAATTCTAATTCCCATAAGAAATGATTCCCTTAGTACAATTCACAGGAATTTAATTCCCCAACTGAGTTATTTCTCCAACACTGAAAAATCCCCTGCAAAATTCTCTTCTCGAGCAAGGTTTACTTCTCCAGCATGGTTTATTTCCCCAACGTGGTTTATTTCCCCAACAGAATTTAACTTCCCAAGTAGGGCTCATTCCTCCTATTACTACAAATCCCCGGTAAGATTCTCTTCTCCAACAAAGTATAGTCCATGTTGCTATCCCCATAAAGTTTCTACAGAATCTGAAACCGAGCCAGACATCATTTAACTTTGTCCTCCCCCAGAAGAGTTGACGTCCATATCGAAAACTCGATCATACGACACCTCTGAAGGGTATTCTATCTCTTTTATCCCAAGTTAAGGTATATAAGAACTAAATCCCCAGTAGAGCGATGAACGAACGAGATTCATGAACTCTTTTATTCCCAAACAGAAGTCAAACATTCCCAACAGAGTATTCTCAAACAGAAGGTAGGAGTCCCCAGCGGAGACATTCTAAACAAAATTGAAGATTCACATTCTTCATATCCAGTAACTGTCAGAGATTTATTTTCTCCAGTTAGAGATGTTATACAAAGCTACCAATACGCTTCAACGATATCTCACATTCATACATCATTTACAAGTATTATAGCATATGCATATGAAACACGTATAGCACACTCTTATTTACTTTGAGAATATCATTATGCAATGCATTACATACATCATGACATTGCATAAAGTCTAACTTTGTCTTTTTAGGTAAAAATCTACAAACAGATGAATATCATTAGCAATTTTCAAACAGGTTGAAGATTAATTTCCGAAACAGGACGGGGCAACTATCTGTATGACCAGTCGGTATAAATTCCCGAAACAATACGGGTTCACCAACAGAAAGAAGGTCAAAGGTTAACTCTCTAAATAGGACGGGGAAACTATCTATATAACTAGACAAATATTAATTCCTGAAACAGGACGGGGCAACTATCTTCATAACCAGGAAAAGATTAACTCCCGAAACAGGATGTGAAAACTATTGACATGACCATGTGGTATGAACTCCTGAAACAGGATGAGTTTACCAACAAAAATAGACTGTGGATCAATTCCCAAAATAGGACGGGGTGACTATCTACATGACAAACACTTCCCTCAAAGACTGAATTCTGACAAGCATTTCCCTCAGAGACTAAATCTGACAAGTAGCTACTTAAGCATCTTCCCCAGAGGTTTATTCTGGAAAGCACTCTTCAGATAGAGTCAAGCGTAGACTCATTCTGGTACTTCTATCAACAGTTACTTTGGATGGCATCTATAAGCCCATCTCTGACGACACTCCGTCACCTCTCTGAATGTCACCTTTAAGCCCATTCAAACAATATTATCAACCAACAATATTACTT